GTCTGCACAGGAGGCTGAAGACTCTACTGGACTCCAGGAGACGATGTCCAAAGTGAAGGTGAGGACTGGAGCTCCTCGAAGAAACACAGCAAGTCTTCCTTCTTCGTTTTCCTTTTGTCTGTTGTAGCCACAGTCCTCCCTAGAGGGATCTTCCATCCGCAGCTACGCTGATCCAGTTTAGTTGAGCTTTCCTTACTGAAACAGACACAGTGAGTTAACCATCATAACTGTTTTATAACGACCAACTAGGTTTAGCTGGTTAAGGTTTTTCTTCTGTACCAAGGATCAGCAAATTATCTTTTAAGACCTGCAAGCTAAATGAATTTTCATTTAGAAGGTTTTTAAAAACTACGTACAACAGAGAGTAATTGTGGCCTGCAGAGACTAACGTACTCTCTGACCTTTTGGAGAGTCTTCCACGCCTCATTATGATACTTAATCGATTAGCTAGAGAAGAGTGTTGAAATTTTCCACCAGTTGATACTTCCTTTTTTCCCTTCTTCCTCTTCTTCACTCATTCAGGCACATCTCTATTAAGAAATGTTCTTTCTGAATGCCAATAGTATTCCTTTCTTGAAGATTACTTTGTGGGATGCTAATGTAGTTGCTCCTTGGAGCTTGGGGTAAGGGAGGGGGGCTCTATTTCCAAAGACATCCAAAGCCCCATTGCCTTTTCTCGCACTACACTGCCTTCTGTCTTTCCACATGATGCTGTGAAATCACTTGGGCCTCTGAGGCCTTGCTCATTTATCTCTACACATTTTAGTATTTGCAATGAACAGGGCTACTTTACCATTCAGTATCACTGCAGATATTCCTGGGGGTTTTGTTTTGTTATTCTAGTTAACCTGTTTAGTCCATGAAGAAATTCAAGGAGCTTCAAACTGGTTTCCATCTTCCCACCTTGCTCATAGCCCTTTCTCTTGGAATTCTCACAAGTAGTTACCACGTGCCTAACCCTCACAGTGGATTTCCCTCTATCCCGACTTCCCCAGCAGCATGTGTTTCCATTTTACCACGCTTCCTGCCTTTCTATTCTTCCTTAATTTAGTTTCAGGACATCTTGCTCTTCTGGCTCCATCTACGGTTGGTTCTACACATTCTTATTTGATGGTCCAGCTTCTTCTCTGCATTGTCTTCATGATGGAACTTGCTGAAGACTGACCTGTCAAAAATTCCCCAATTTTTGCCCTAATCTCCCATGTGATTACATTTAGAGACAGAACCTTTGGGAGGAAATTAGGGTTAGAAGTCACAAACATAGGGTCCTCAAAATGGGATTGGTGGTTTATTTCCTTTTAAAGACAAAAGGGAAGGACAGGTCAGGACATGACAGGACACACCAAGAAGGTCATCCGCCATCACAGGAAGAGAGCCCTGGCCAGGAATATAACGGCAGACAGCTCAGTCTTGGATTTTTCAGCCTGAAAAACTATAACAAGTAAATTTCTGTTGCTTCAGGCATACAGTTTGTGGTATTTAAATGATTATAGCAGTTTCTCTGGGAAAGGGGAAAATCAAGGTGTACTTTTCTCTCTCTTGCACACAAGAAGACAAGTAAGTCAATTTTGACACCAGATATGTGGAAAGTTTTCCCCACACACCATGCAATTGCTTCTCCAGCAGAAACCAGCAATGTGTCATCTCTAATTCAATTCAGTTCGGACACTGTCTAGCTGAAGGTAGTGTCAGACTCCAGAGACAAAGTGTTCTATCCCGGAAGACGTCCACCTACTTCAGGTGCCAGTCACAAGCGAAGTTTGGCACCCTGATGCTGAGCCATTGACCACGTGTAGACCAAGACTTCCCATGAAAGCTGCCCGTGGAGTCTTTGCCTTGGTAATACACACTTAACTCCCTCCGCGTGTTTTCTTTGCTTCATAGCTCATTTGTTTTTTTTTGTTTGTTTGTTTTTTTCTCCGGTACCGGGAACCGAACTCACAACCTTGCGCTTGCCAGGCAGGCGCTTTTGCCACTGAGCTAAATCCCCAGCCCCCTCATTTGTTTTTAACACTAAACAAAACTACTGTCTAGTTGCACCATCACCTACTGAAGAATATCTTGGTTGCTTCCAAGGCTTTGCAATTATGAGTAAAGCTATTATAAACATCCACGTGCACACTTTTGTGTAGAAAAAAAAGCTTAAGAATCTTTGAGTATTTGCCACAGAATGCAACTGCTGAGTCCTGTGGTAAGAGCATGTTTAGCTTCGAAGAAACCTACATTTCCAAATTAACCATATGTGATGGTTGAAACACTGTGTCAACTTGGGGAGTCTAGAGGTTTGGCTAAGTAACTTAGCAGGAAGCCAGAGTGCTTACTTTGTATACATCCTGAGCCTGTGGAAGAGGAGGGCAAAGATTATGTGAGAGCTACAGGCCCCTTAGGTGGGGGTAGCCTGTTTACAAAGTAAGGCAAGAAAGAAGCTGCTTGCCGCCATTCCTCCGGTTTGCTCTGGCTGTTTGCTGTTTGGCTGCCGTTCCCCCCTTTGCTCTTGTTGCTTTGCTGTCTTCTCCCTTCCAACCAAGTATGGACTGAAACCTCCACAAACTGTAAGCTAAATAAACTTTTCCTTCCTTCATTTTGGGCGTTGGATATTTTGTCTCAGCAACGAGAGAAAAGTAACCAAGACACCATACTATTTTGCATTCCTACTCAATGAACAAGAATTTCTTTGCTCTGACATCTCTCTATTTACTTTTTAAATTTCTTTCATCACCATTTGTAGTTTTCCTCATATAGAACTATATATATTTTGGTAGGTTTATACTTAAATATTTTGGGGGGTGTTAAGGTAAATGGTATTGTTTTTAATTTCAAATTCCACTTATTCATTGCTAATATATAAGTCAGGGATTGACTTTTATATATTAATTTCTATCCTGCAATCTTGCTATCATTACTTATTACATCCAAGAGCTTGTTTTCTTTCCTTTTTAGATTTTCTTCATAAACTGTAGCATCATCTGTAAATAAAGGCAGTTTAATTTCTTCTTTTGCTATCTGCATACATTTTATTTTATCTTATCATAATACTTCCAGTACAATGCTAAGAAGGCATACAGATGGGACATGGTTGGCAACTTTCTGATTTTAGAGGGGAAAGTTCCAGTTTCTCAGCTGTATGTATGATTTAGCTGTAGATTTTGTATAGATTTTCTTTAACAAGATGAAGAAGCTCCCTTGTATTCTATAGTCATTTATAATGAATGGATGCTGGAGTTTGCCAAATGCCTTCTGTGCATGTACTGATATAATCACATACACTTTCTTCTGTAGCCTTTTAATGCAATGGATTATATTAATTGATTTTTTAAATGTTGAACTAGACTTGCACATCCATAATAAATTGCACTTAGTCATAGTTTATAAGTTTTTTTATATATTATTTGATCTGATTTGCTAATATTTTGTTGAGGGCATTTGCATCTATATTTATGAACTACTGGTCTATGGATTTCCTCTGTCTCTGTCTCCTAGTCTCCCTTCCTCTCTCCCTCTCTCTCCCTTTCTCTCTCTCTGTCTCTCTCTCTTTCTCTCTCTCTTTCTCTCTCTCTCTCTCTCTCTCTCTCTCTCTCTCTCTCTCTCTCTCTCTCTCTCTCTCTCTCCAGTTTTGGTGGCTGGCTGATGCTGATCTTATAGGATGAGTAAGAAAGTATGCAATCTGTTTCTATCTTTTGAGAGAAATTGTACAGAACTGGTATAATTTCTTCCTTTAATGTTTGGTAGAATTCACCAATAAATCCATCTGGGCTTGGTGCTGTTCTGAAAACATATTAATCATTGATTGAACTTTTATATATAAACAAGGACTGCTAAAAAATATGCTGTGTGTTTAAATAAAAATATTTATCACACTGAAAGACATATTGTCATTAATTCCCCTTAAAATTCTCCCCCTCTCTTCAAACACATGTATCCTCTCATTTCTGCCACTTTCAAAAGCGGCTTTGGAAGTCCTCTTTCCTGTTTCAATTCCACTGTTAGGGCTGCCTTGAATCAATCCAAAATGTTTACTTTTCACATTCACTTCAATTTGGGGAAGAGCCAGAAGTACACGGTGTCAGTTAGATTTGGTAAATAAAGTGGATGAGGACACACTAATATTTTTACTTGAAAGAAATGCCCTAAACATTTTGAGTCAATTCAGGATGCTGAGGCAGCCATGACGGTGTGACTAAAAATGCTCATGAAAGAGATTTCCACAGAGTGGCAAGAATGTTGTGCGTCCAAAGGGAAGGGTCATGTTTTGAGGAGGGTCAATGGCACTGAGTCCTCAAGTCTAATACATTTTTTAAAATTCACTGTAGTTGGTGATCATACCTCATAGATATTTATGAAAGTCTACAGCATCACATATCTTTTAACTTTCTGGTTAGAGTTCATAATTGTAAAATAAGCAGGCATTGTCAACCATATCTGCCCATTGGATCTTATTAATTCTAAGAGGTACCTATTTTCACAAGCCAACATCTCTGAAATCAAGAAGTACCTTATGACAGCATCTTTTATTTGCTGAAATCTAATAATATTTTGGGAAGTCTAATAATATTTTGGGAAGTGTTTACTCTAAATTAGACACCATTCTGATTGATTTATTTAACACTTTCACTAATTTGACATGGTGTGATACCCTATCTTAGTTACTTTTCTTGTTGCTGAAACAAAATACCTGACACCTACAAATGAAGGAAGGAAAGGTTTATTTGGCTCACAGTTTGTAGAGTTTTCAGTCCACAGTCAGCTGGCTCCGAGGCAGGGAGGCGCATGGCAGAGGGGCATCGCAGAGAAGGAACAGTGCATGATAGGCAAAAGGTAGCAAAATAAGCAAGCAAGGGGCAAGACAAGCTTCTGTCTCTTATATTGTATCCAGGGTACTTGGATCATGGTAGTTCCAAGCCAATCAGTGGACTGATTTAGTAACCATGTACCTTTAATCCTAGAAGCCTTAATCCTAGCATTGCACTATGAATCACTTAAGATGCAGCCACCTCTGAAAATGCCCCACCTATGACAGCATGAGGCTTTAGGGGACATCTAGACATAGCCATAGCATGCTCTTAGGCTCATTTCACTGGTGGAGAAGTAAGGCAGGGAAAGAGTCACATGCTTAAGGAACTACAGTGTGACTCATTGCTAGAATATTTGCCTAGCATATGGGAGCCCCTGGGTTTGATCCCCAGCACTGCAAAAATAAATAAGTAAATAAATAACCAGCCAACACGCTCAGGGCTGCGTATCTAATACACGGCACAAATGAGCTTTGAACCTTGAGAATCTGGCTCCAGAGTTTAAGTCCTTAACCAAAAAAGATGTGTGACTATTAAAGGATCCCAAAAAGGAAGGATAACTGGGACATTTGTGGCTGGAGAACAGCAGAGCTCAAAGGTTCAGTGACAGCTGCCTGCATGACACTGGCATGGAGTCCTTCCCTTGCCCACGAAGCATCCCTCAGATCTTCCCGAAGCGCCCTTTGATCCAGGGCCTTGAGTTGTTTCTGCAGTGCTGAGTACATGTGGAATACCAAGACACAGGTACAGATGTCCGAAGAACATAGTGTGGGAAACTCGTGACCACTTTCCTCCCCAAGGCAATGTACCAGCAGATATCTAAGAGGCGGTGCAACTCTGACACCTACAATTATTTTTTGTCCTTTTTTGGTGCTGTTTGACCCTGAGTTCAGTGGAAATTTTATCACTCACTTTGGGCAGAAACCAGGGAAGAAGAATGGGATTAGAGAAGGGGAGGATTGTTCCAAATATTCTGTTATTTTCCAGACTCTGCTTCCCATGAGCACTAAGGGAAAAGCCTCTGCAGATGTAGCTCTCATGATAAATCACTTTTTAATCAGTCATAATTTTGTATTAAGTGCTGAATAAATGCCCTTTGTTTCATACTTAAACTGTCAGTGGCTAACATCAGGAGGGCAGACTAGTGCCTGTCATTAGAGAGAGGGAAATCAATACTGGTTTTAATTAAAGGCAGGCATAGCTGAGCTTAGAGGCAAGGGTGTCTCCTTGGCAGGGCATCTCCCCTTCCAGTTCTTGCAGAAGTTCACCTCGGAAGTTGAGATGCAGCCAGACGCAGGGACAGAAGTGGTCCAAGGCTTTGAGGGAGGAAGCAAGATTTCACCCAGCCTGTCCGCTGGGATCGCCATGAGGCATGGGCAAAAGTAGATCCAGGCTTCTGTTGGAGAGACAGTCTTTTCATTTGCAGCTTAAAAGAGAATTGAAGGACAGACAGACATTCTTGTCACTTAGGGTTTATTATGCTGTGGAAGCCAGCGTATGACCTAGGATTTTCAATGACTCCTTTCATATTATGTTTTATGACTTGAGATTTTCCTCACTTCATAGAACCAGAGCCCAGCAAGACAGAATGCAGTCTTTGACAGCCTAAGGATGGAAGTAACATTCACAAAGCGAGGATTTCACAGAGGTGTAAGGACCAGGGGATGGATGGTTGAGGTGCCTCCTTGACAGTTGCCTTCTTGGTAGTTTGTCCTTGGTACCAAGATGTTTGTAATCTATCTGTAGAGAGAAAACAGGTACATTCAGAGCGTTATGACAATAAGAAGTGGTTACATTGAGTCAACTCTCCTAATAGGACATAGAGAGACTGAGGAAGGAGAGCGATGAGACGCCTTAGTGAATGGAGGCTGACGGCACTTCCATGGTTCAAGCACCTTCCCAGCACAGTTTCTCTTGCTCTCTGGTTGCCAAGAGCCACAGGTGCTGCCCCACTGTTAGTTTTCATAGGCAGCATACCCACGGCACAGCGACCGCTGTTTCCTCATGGGATGAGAACTCCACCTAAGCCTGATTTTGTCATCAGCGCTTGGGTCAATTGTAGTTTCTAGGGTTCTAAATAATCTTCAGGAGCCACCTCAAGATGGCTTAGGATAAAACAGAGTACAGTGATGGGATTCAGAGGCCCGGAGTTAACGCCTGCATCAGGATGATCAAGAACCTGGCCCTTAGGCCTGCATCTCCTGAGCTCAGCCCTCGATAGCAGGCCTGGGTGGGTGACACTGAAGGAGCTGGGGACACCCACAGGCATTTCTGGGATCCCTGGTGCTCTGCACCCCAGAATCAGCACACTGTCTTCATATCAGCATCCATTTTTCCCTAAATTCCTGTGCTTCCATGAAACCCAATGAAAATATGCCCTATTTTAAATTAACATGTTTGTGCAGGACATGAGCAGGAGGCCTAGATTCCATTATAGAGTCAATAAATCAATAACATGCTTGTTGCTGTTATTAAATCACTTTGAAAATGCATTGCACATTGCAAGCGTAGGGTTCCTTGGAGCCAGCAGGGGGACCCTGTTCATGCCCCATGTTTTAGAGTTACTGCCTTAAAATATCCAAGGTCTCTGTCTCTGCTTGACACCCAGCAGGGCACCAAGGGTCCTTGTCTCTGTCTTTCTTGGGGACATTCTCTGACCCTCTGCTCTGTGTGGGTCACCGGGTGCTGGAGATTAGGAGCGAGAGTGAGCCGATATCACACTGAACAGGGGTGACTCCCACACAGAAGAAACACGGGGAAGATGGTGAGGGCTCTGACCCACCACGGCTGCCACCAGCCACGCTTTGCAGAAGCCCAGTGGTTCTGAACACAGTGCCACCGTCCACAGCAGCTAGCTTCTTTCCCCTTTGCCCTGCGCATGCTCATGTGACCCCAGGGTGGTCCTGTTTCTACAGGCTCCATGCCATGTGCCAGGCAATCCCAAGGCAGCCGTTTCCACAGGTTAACAGGCCGACCACACCCAGTCAACACTCTCTTCCTCTGCCTTCTTCCTTCCTCCCCCCTCTTCTTCTCTCCGCCTTTCCCTCCTCTTCCTCCTCTATTCTCCTCCTCCTCCTCTTCCTTCTTTTCCTCCTTCATCTCCTCGGTCTGCTCCTCTTCTCCTCCTCCTCCCCTTCTCTTCCTCCTCCTCCTTTTCCTCCTTCTTCCCTACTGCAGTAGGGACTGAACCTACGGCCTCCCTGTGCAGCTGCACTGTGCTGCATCCCCAGCCTACCTTCAGCAATGCTCTTTTTCACTGAGACAGAATCTCACTGAGTCACTAAGTTTCCCAGACTGGCCTCGATCTTGCGATCCTCCTTCCTGCCTCAGTTGCCCAGATTGCTGGTATTATAGGTATCCACCATCATGCCAGGGTAGCACATTTTTCTGTTGTAGGTCTCTACATGCTCTGTCCTGAGATGGTCTTAGAAAGCAGGCATTTTGCTTAGGGGATCACAAATAATTGTATATCTTGTTTATGCCAGTTATTTGTGGATGAACCACACAAATGCTGCAATTCCTGCTGTACCATACATATTTCTTTAGGTTTTTATGTTATGCTTTGTTTTCTTCTGCATTGTTCAGCAACTGGGTAAAGTTGGTTTTCAATATATATGCACGGATTTGTAGAGGAATGGATGGTGCAGTACTCCAGACAGGCCTGTGTGCCAGGAGATGACTGGATCAAGAGCAATGATTTTGACAGAGTTGAGAAAGGAGGGGGGATGCAAGTGATCACAGAATAGTACTGCATACTACTTATTGACATATGAGAAGAGTATTTAATTAATAATTGCACAGTGAAACAGGACCTATCTCCAGGTTAAAAATTCTTATAGTGAATTTCTTACAATCATTCTCCTTTAAGATTATAGTATAGGGCTGGGGATTTAGCTCAGCGGCAAAGCGCCTGCCTGGCAAGTGCAAGGTCGTGAGTTCGGTTCCCGGTACCAGAGAAAAACAAAAACAAGCAAACAAACAAACAAACAAAAAGATTATAGTATAACTAATACATTAGTACTTTCAGGTGATGTTACTAATGATTCCTTAATTTTTTAATCTTTAAATTAAGCTCTGTTTGACAGTATTGTAGTTGTTTGATTTCTGTGATGAGCATAGGAAGAAGAATTTATTACAGAGATCTCTGAATTATTTCTCATTTGACTGGAAATTCTTTGAGAGCCAGGGTATATCATTTACTGCAATATGCTTTTTATTTAAGATTCTTTTTGATTTATAGAGAAATTGAGAACATACTACAAAGTCTTCCTCTATACTCAAACACCTAGTTTCCCTATTATTATCTTATATTAGCATGGTTCATTTGTTACAATTAATGAACCGCTATATATTATATGTTATTATTGGCTAAGGTCCACTCTTGACTTTGATCTCCTTGGTTTTACCTCATGCCCTTTTCATCTTCCAGGGCCCTCTAGGAGACATCATTGTGTTTATTCTCCATGTCCCTTTAGGTTCCTCCTAACAGCTTTGAGTAGTCTGGTCAGATATGCTGTAGATGCTCATTGATTGTATATTGTCTATTTCTTTTTCCTGTTATTAAAGTAGGGTCCTGGGGTTTAGAAGTATGATCACAGAGGTAGGCTGCCAGTTTCATCACATCCTTGCAAGGGTGCATCCTGTCACCATGACTAGCACTGTGGTGTTGCCCCTGATCAGCTGGCTAAGATAATGCTTGTCAGTTTCTTACTGGGTGATTCATCTTTCCCCCCAACATTTTTGTACTACAGTTTGTGGAAGGACATCACTACGCCAAGCCCACACTTACAGAGTACAGACTTCATGCTCCTCCTCCTTGAAAGCAAATCATCTGCACAAATCATTTGGAATCCTGCTAAACAGAGAAGTGGTGTCTTTTTTCCTCTTAATTTATTAATTTATTTATGTTAACATGGACTTGTAAATATTTAGATATTTGTTTTGTATTCCAATAATCTAAGTCTATAGTGATGATGCGTGAGCTTAATTCTTTCCACCATTCTGGTTACAAACTGAATTGGAGAAGAACTGAACCAAATTCAATGGCTGAATTCAATGTTAACTTCATGGGGAAGTTTGATTCAGTTCTTATCCAATTTAGCTTGCAACCAGAATCATGGAAAGAAGTTCATTAGTCAAGGTATCAGTGTATTTTATTTTATTGGTCAAATTATTCAAGCTTTGGATCTTGAGAGCTGTTTTAGTTAACCCGTATGCTGCTCTGACATACTCACATTATCATGGGCCTTGCTGGGGTGGGGAGAGGTGACCTGTTCTTATTTTCTGGTACATGGTACATGATATATTTCAACTGCTAGAGCTTTCAATGATACAAACAGCCCTCTGTGCCACAGGCTTGCACCACTGTCTTAGTGTGTCAGCTCTTCATTGATGTAGCAAAACTCTTGAGATAAGCAATTTAAAGGGAGGAAAGGTTGATTTGGCTTATGGTATTAGAGGGCTCAGTCCTTAGTCACTCAGTGCTGTTGCTTTGGTTTTATCTGTGGTGATGCAGTACATTGTGGTGGGAACATCTCATAGAAGAAGCCTGTTCACGTCATGGTGATCAGGAAGCAAAGAGAGAGAGGAGGAGGCACCTGGGTGCCAGGATTCCCCTCCTGGCCAGGCCCCAGTGACTCACTTCCTCCCACTGGGTCTTTCCTCTTGAAGGTGCCACACCTCCCCACAGCCTCATGGGAGGTGGACCAAGCCAGGAACACATGGGCCTTTGAGAAACACTGAAGATCCAAACCAGAGTGTACAGTAACTCAGTTAGTGGGTTGCTGAAATAAATGTACCCTACACTGAATTATAATACAAGTTATCTGACAATCATCTTTATCCACAGTGTAATTCTCAAAACACTGACATCTCAGTGGTTGTTTCCTCCAAAAATACTACATTACCTACTATTTTATATTGAGGGCTTCCCTTCCAAACATGTTTACATTTCTACCTCTGCATTTCAGCTTTTGGGAAGTACCTAAAGTCATTTCAGCAACATCTGTGTGCATTTATGTACATAACTCTAAGGGCTCCCCAAAATATAAAGAGTGTCAGGGCAAAACTCTCAAAGCTCAATGAATTTCCACAGCCAAGTTGGAGCTGGAGTGTTGTTTTTGCTCCCCTTGTTTTTGGTCTTGCTCTGTCTCCCATTGCTCAAGTGGAAAAAGACATTAACCTAGGAGCTAAGAAAAGAAAATAAGAGGCCTTTCAGAAGTGTTGGGTCAACACTCTTTACTCCAGCCTCCTCCTCCAGGGCTCTCCTGCCCTCTAGCCTGGCTCCAGACCACGAATTTCCAGGGAGTTCTTTGCCTTTTGATCTCCTCACTGATCTAATGCAATTGTCCACTGGCAGAAGTGCTGCGAGGTGCAGAATAAAATAATGAAGCTAATTTGATTTGCACTCTGCACCCACCCTGAAGATCTACATGTCTTTATTGTATTAGGTTCCTAATGAGATTCTCCATCTGCGCTCTAAGGGGGCAGGAGCGCAGCGTCTGGGGGAAGAGGTCATCTCAAGAGATGTTTGCCGTTTACATTGAGTCTTTAATGGGGATGGACCCAGCTGCCCTTGAGTCCTAAGGTGATCATATTTCCCTTCCTGGACTCTGCTGGACAAGAAGTGGGGAGGCTGCCCCTGCTGCAGAGACCTGAGTGCCTCCCTTACTTCCAAGAGAAGGAAACTGCACGAGAGGTCAGTGCTGGGCTGAGCGCTTCCTAGGAAGAGCTCCATGCAGATGTCCAGCCCAGGCATCGGTTCCAGGAGATGTGCTCCTTCCTGTGCATCTGTCCTCACATCGAGTTTCCACCCACACTGTATACAGTGGGAAATGACGCTAGCGTTCCCAGGTCCCTCCCCAGGGCACCAAATTCCCTGAGGCGTTTCAGTGGCGTCCAGGTAAGTGCAGGGGTTTCAGATGAAGTCCCATCCAAGTCTGGTTGGTAGGGACTGCTTGAGCAGGACAGGATAGGAAGTTCATCCTGGAGAACCGTGTCCCTTCCAACCCAGTCAGTCACCCCCAGAAGCACCCCGCCACACCCACAAGGAGCTGTAACCTGTTTCATCCAGCCCACCTGCCACGTTCCTAGCCCCTCTTTGTATCCATCAGGATGCTGGCAGCACTTCTTCGCGATCCAAAATATCTGATTTGTTTCTTTCAAGTTACACCATCTACTGGGGTTATAACATGACAGAATTTTGGCCTTTTGTTTTTCTCCAAAAGCTGTTTTTGAACTGCCCCAAAATCTTGCTGAGAAGTCTGATTTAATCCATATAACGCATTTATGAGTGAATTGTTTTGAGACCCAGGTTGGGAGGTGGGCACAAACACCGGCATCACAATCCACAAGTTTATTACTCCAATTTGAAAGGGTTTTGGATTATTTCAGATAATGAATAAGTGGGTGGAACCGGAGTGTGGCCCAAGGAACTACTTTATAAAAGCAAATGTCGCTTAGCTTGTTTTCCACCTCTCCAGAATTCCTGAGACCGTGGGAGGGAAGCAAAAGCCAGGTGATTGGCATCACGACGACTTTCCTGGGGGAGAAAGGCAGTTTATAGCTAATCTAAGGTCTTTAAGAGGAATCTATCAGCTTTGGTTTGGCTCTCAGTGGACAGGTGTCTGTATCATAGAAGCACCATACATAATTCACCACCAGAGAGCCCCACAACTTAGCAGGAAGGCTAAATTACCTGTCACTTCCACAAAGGGTGTTCCCTTCAGGTCAAGGTTGAGAGCTCTGGTAAACTCGCCTGAGGAAGGGCACATCAGCTCCTATTTAAATGTCAGCGCTGGTGGGAAATGCATGCTGGCTATTTGCCCCTTGGATCTTCTGGCTTCTTTTGCAGAGCCAATTAACACGTTCTCATTCCGAAGTCAGGCTGGAAAGATGCGAGTGAGACTGCTCGCTTTAATGATCAGAGTCCACTCGGTGTAGGTCCAGAGGATGGATGTGGGGAAAGCCAGGCTCTCCTCATGGCAGGGATGGGTGGGGGTTCTGGAGAGGGGGGCGTCCTCACAGCTTAAGCAGAATATGAAAGCATCTCATTATTACCCACGCTAGGACCCTAGGTCTGGTCCCAGGTAGACCCTGACCTAGAAGCGCAGTTCCACCTGGCTGTCATTAAGCTGCAGACAATACCCTCCCTTTGATGGACTGGCGAGTGATTGGCATGTGAGAAGTGGAAGCAGGTGGAGCCCGTGTTGGGGAGGCCAGGGGTTTGGGTGTCACCTGTGTAGCTTTGGGGACCATTTGAAGCACTGCTCATGGAGTTCGCTTCGGATTCATCACCCATATCTCAGAAACATTGTCTTAAAACAAGACAGACCAGAGGCCAGAGGTGAGGGTGATGCTTACTCCCTTTTTCCAGGTTTCCTTGTGGGGCTGGTGAGGGAAGGTTCAATAGTAGTTTTAACACTTTCATTGTTTTCCAAGATCTTCATACTTTCGAAGTAAACTTTCAGTTTCATTAAAGAATTGGGTTTAATAAGTTATTTACTTCTAACACAGTGGAAAGGATGACTGCTTGTTTTTGAGGGTATCTGAATATAGAAGAATATTTCATTCTACAAATACATACTAATTAACTTTACATGTTAATAAAATTAATAGAATGGAAATTAGAGATCAAGTCTTCAATATGTGCCAAGTTTATTGTATTCAGTAAGGCAGAAGAGCAGAAAAGAAAAAAATCATAACCACAAGTATTTTGAAAGTTAAGAAATAAAATCCAAGGCCACCAGGTATCAGGATTAATGGATGTTGATTTGTAAATTTTTGATGGACTACGTGATTGAGAGCTCACTGCCCCAGTTTGGAAAAATCTTCATGTTTAAATTCAAATGCTCTCTTAATTGAGAAAATCCTCTCAGATAGCTCTCAGGAAAATATAGTGCTTTCAAATTGAGCAGAGCATTTGTCAGGTTAATTTGGTAAGCTCAGGAGAAACACAAATGCTTAATTCAACAAAGAGCATTTTCTGTATATCTGATGGTAGAAACTGATACTTTCTTCAGAGTTTTACTTGAGGACAATATAAAACATAACTTGAGTTTTCTAATTAGCTTTTATAGATATGTCCAATTTATGAGTGAATTCAATATGAAAAGTTCTAGCAAAGTACAGACTTCAAAAGCTAATTTTTCTCTTTCAAATTTCTTATTTGTGCACATGTATGTTTTATACACAGTCCAGGTAAATTCTGATTATTTGTATGGACACTCCAACTGCTGTCTTTCTGTTCTTCTAAGTAATTCTGAATATAACCAGGTGGAAACTGCTTTTACTTGGGGCTGGGGATTTAGCTCAGCGGCGCAGCACCTGCCTGGCAAGCACAAGGTCGTGAGTTTGATTCCTGATACTGGAAGAGAAAAACAAAACAAAAAAACCCCTGAAACTGTTTTTACTTAAGGTTGGCTGAAATCAGACATTCCTTCAAAGTGTACACACAGCATATAGATGCTGAGAGTTTGTGGGTGACCCACTCTGGCGGCCACTGGGTGTTCAGTGGCATTGAGACAGGAAACACAGGCTGTGGACACAACGGGAACCATCGGATGGGAAAGTTCTCAGGCGAGGAGGTGGAAGGAGAAGCAGAATCTACTACTGTTGTCATTTCAAGGCTGAGTTCTCACTTTCAAGTCAAAAGCCTGGAAAAGTTCCTTTTATGCTCCTTGTTGAGATTTCTGGGGGGCATAGCACACGGGAACTTAGAGCTCTTCTTGTTACACAAGGATGTGACCCTCTGGATACACCTATGGGGCGCAAGTGCCCTTGCCTGGAAATGGAATTTGAATGAGTCTTATGACTTGAAATGCCAGTTATACACTGACAGCTCCCAAATTTACACCCGCCCCGGCGTCCCCCCTGAATTGCAAACTCATGTATCAAACTCCATAACAGCTGTCTCCACTGGAAGTCCACACCTGAAATGTAACAAGCTCAAAGGTGAACTCATAATTTCAAACTTTCACTTTTCATTTCAGTTCCTTCTTCGGCAGTTCTCCCCAGCACGATCAGCAGCAAACCCCTTTCTCTAGTGGATCCAGCCCTAACTTGAGCCCTGCTAAATGTCTCCCTGTCTCTCACATTCTCAGCCCTTCTGTGATGAAGCCGTGTTTCTCACTTGCAGATGCATCTAGAACCCCACTGCGCTTCCTCAGGTCACCGCTGCCTCCCTGGCCCGAGCCAAGCTTATCCTGTCCCGAGTCCTACACCTCTCCCACAGGCTTTCCTGTTATTCTCCCTTCTCCTGAGCCGCTTGCTAGGGTCACACAGCAGGCTCTTGACCCCTGGTAGAGGCAGATGAGGTCACAGAGTACCGTTGGTCTTTGGCTTTGTCCCTGACCCCTCTGATCTCCCTCTCAGTTCTCCCTCTGTTGCCCCAGGCCTGTTGCCCTGCTCTCCTTGGAGTGCACCAGCACGTCTCTCCCAGGGCCTGGGGTCATTCACCGGCTTCCCCCACAGGGCCGCGTCTCCTCGTCTCCTCTCTGTCACTACTGTGCTCAAAGGGCTCCTTCTCTGAGAGGCCCTCCCTCACTCCTCTCTGCTCTTTTCTCCTTAGCACTCACCGTGGTGTGATGGAACCTAATGATCCACTTTGTTTACTGTCTCTCCTGCCCCAGGTTGGACATCCCCGAATCCGGTCTTTTGTCCGTTTCCTTCTCGGCCAGGGCCTGCCAGCACCTGGAACACAGTAGTACTTAATGGCAGGTATGGAATGAATAGATACATTTGCTTAAGAAAATGTAAAATTCTTCCAAATGGGAAGGAGACTGAGAAATGGAGGGAAAGGAAGGGAGGGGAGGGGCAGGGAGGGGCGGGGGATGAAAAAGAATTAAGTTGTATTTTGTACCTGCACTAACTCTCCTTGATGAATGTGATCAGTATGTAATGCAAACGTGTACCAATAAAAAATGAAAACAAAAACATAAAAGTAGACCTGATAACTTCTATAATCCTTACTCTTTTTAATATTTTAAAATATTTTAAAAATTTCTTTACATATATGTAATCTCATGTATAGTTTATATATATGATATAGATATATCTTTAACTCTATATCTATATCTATCTATATCTATATCTGTATCTCTATCTGTATATCTACATCTATCTATATCTTTCTATCTATCTATCTATCTATACATATATATTTACCCTTTTGGGTGTGCCATTTTATGCATTTCATAAATGCCTAGGCTTGTACAGACCCTACTGGAATCAAGACACAGAACAATTCTGTCACCCTTCAAGAAAGTCATCATGGTGTTTCTTTCTAATCAAGTTTTTCAGTCTGTCTCACCCTTAAACACCACTGACCTGCTGTTTTGCCTTTTTCAGAAGTTCATATAAATGCAGCCACACAATGTGTAGCTTTTTAGGTCTGGTTTCTTCTACTTAGCATGGTGCATTTCAGGTACATCCATGTGGTTGGGTATATTAGTAAGTTTTTCTGTTTGTTTTTGAACATTATTCTATTACATGGTTATGCCAGACTGAATTTTTGGTATTTCCAGAAGACCATGAATAAAAGGAATGTATTATCAAGTTGTATATCACAAAAACTAAGTCTCTGGTAAAATACATAACTTTTTGCAAGTATTATAGAACTCAGGTTAGTGGTTTAGTTTTTAAACTAAGTGTACAAAAACAACCCAAGGAAAATACATCCCAAATAATGGTTGGTTTTGATCAGTAACTACTTTTTTTTCTATTCTTATACTGTAGTTTTAAAATGTTTATGAAGGCTAGCTTTTCTATGATACAAAAACTTTATTTTGGAAAATATGATATACTTGTGTAGAAGTTAAATTGCCCAGAAGATGTGATTTTAGGAAATGAAATATATATTTATTCCTTCTAAGTTTAAAATTGTATCCAACTACATTGGTCAGCTAAACTTTTAGAGAGGAATAAGAAAGCTTCATGTTCAAAAAAAAGTTTATTTTATCCAAACAAGGAAATTGGATGCTAGTTTTAAGTTATAATTTATGATTTTTCAGTCTAGTTTTATATTTGCCATCAAGAGCTGCTGCTTCTTTAAGAAACAAGGGTCTCTGAACAGTTTCTGAAGTCATAGATCATATATAAATAGGTTGTTTGCTCTTGGTACAGATGCCATCATTAGTAACTACTTTTGGGCTCTTTGAGAGCTAAATAATTCCGCGACGCATCATTGAGCATTCAGTTGCTTCACGGCAGATGGTTCCGGGGGCCCATCTGCTCACGGCAGTGTTTTCAACAAGCCCCCTTCACCTGCCCCAAAAGGCTGGGAAGCATTAGAATATTCATCCCACGCCAGGTGCGCTTCCTTGGTTCCCCATACTAGGGACGGGGACCACTGCCTCTTTTTCTTCCTTTCTTGAACCCAGAAAGGAACCCTTGGCCTGGCTAAGTGTCAGAAGGCTTACACTAGGTGTCTGGAACACTAAAGGGAGACTTCCTGGATTTCAAGGACCTGTAAACTTGCCCGAGTCATCGTGCATATATGCGTGTGTGCGTGCGTGATGCGTGTGTGTGTATGTGTGTGTGTGTGTGTGTGTATAGGCAGGTGATTGCTTCCCTAGACTGACATATGTGTGTGTGTGTAGGCAGGTGATCACTTTTCTAGACTCACCATAGTAAAAATGAGATATTAGGCAGCTAGTTACCTATGTCTGTTACCTATTACTCCTGCCATTAATATGGGCTGAAGCCCTGTCAGCCTCTTGTGAGTCTGTGGGGATAAAGGATGCACTCTCCTGCCTTTGAGCACATAAGGAATCTCTCCATCAAGGTCAGGGTGAACAGAAGAAATCCAAGGAGGAGCTCCTGCTGACCCCATATGGACAAGAGTGCATGGAGTACAATATCTGGATGCAGAGAGGATCCTGGGGTGAGGGAAAGGGGACGCAGCTAGCTTCATTCCAGAAATCCCAAATGCCCCATTACCTATGTGATCTCTGAGAAGTGGACTGGTGGCATGCGATGAATAAGACATGGGCAGCAGCTGCTCAATGAAGGTGCAGAATTTTCTGTTCCAGATTGGAAAATAACCAAGGAAGATAAAGTTGGTGAAGAGGAAACACAGAATGTGAGCAAGAGGACTTTTGAAAAAGAGAACAATAAATTATCAACCCGCTGAGCACCCTGAACCCAACATGTGAAGTCAGCACTGCAAATGATGTAAGACTTTTCAGGTATTGAGTAATTAGAGAGATGTCACTTTATCTCCTAATTTGTCAGCAAAGGGAATGCTGAAAGGAATCACAGTTCTCTGTGATTTCAAAGAATAGCATCAGTGCTGACTACTGCTCCTCTTCGGTCAGTGTTTGGTGCTTAAGTATTAAAATAGTCTGTAATTTAATTTGTCTTCCTAAGGGAGCAAATGGATTCTGATTTAATTGAAGAAAAATTGCTGTAGTTCTCAGATGTATATTTCAGAGAGCTGTTCAAAGACCATTTAATTTTCTCTTATTTTCTTTTTATAAAAATACAAAAAATACTAGGAAAGATGGGAATCTTTAGCTTACTGAAAGAATGTCACTTGTTCACTGGTGGTAATTCTAACCTTATAGTCATTCATTCACTTATAATAGGCATTTATTAAATTCCTACTAGTTGCCCAGAATAGAATAAGGTTTATGGTAGACCCTATTTTCAAGCTTAAAGATTTTCCTAGTTTCTCAGCCAAAACTCCTCTGCTGAATTGTTGGTGTCAGAGGTGAGTGATTTATTACCAGCCCCCAGTCTGAAGGAGTGGCCCGTGGTAGGAGTCTGAGAGCACACAGGATCCTGATGCTGTCATCAATGTCATCTTGATGATCCTGTCAAGAATAGCCATTAAAATTGACTTTACTGTCATTCCTACTATTGCTTTCAAAGCAGAATTACTACCCCAGATTACAGATTGCTTTCAGTGGTGGTGGATAATTTAGAACTCAGTTAATTTAATTCCATTTTGTTTTGGGGGAGCATTAATTACTTAAGTATGTTCAGCACTATTTGTCCTATGAAGAACCCCAATTACAGGACTTATTTTATGCCTTCAAGTAATCCGTAACCTGACTGGGGAAAGAAGACAGATCTACCCAACATGGTAAGAAACAACCAAGAAGCTGTAAGACCTTCTAGGAGTGCACCGTTAAGATCTGAGTGCATTCTAAGCAGGGAAAGAGGTTCAGAGAGCTCATCCCAGCCTCCTTCAGAATGATATCCATCTATCCTTCTTAGCTACAATGGACAAGCCAAGCATTTGTTTTCTTTTCTTTCCAGTGTTTGTGGTACTGGGGATTGAGCCCTGTGCCTTTGCACTGAACTGGGTCCTCAGTCATTTTTCATGTTTTATTTTGAGACAAGGTCTTGCTAAGTCACTAAGTTACCCAGACTAGGCTTGAGTGTTTGAAGCTCCTGCCTCAGCTTTCCAGAGTGCTGGGATTGAAGGTTTGTGCCACCGTGTCTAGCTACATTTGATTTCTGCAGAGAAGAAATGGAGATAAAGAGGTTTGGGTTAACTTTAAGGAATTTGGGTGATTTTTTTTAAAAATGGAAGGAGTTGCATGATAGTTCTGTAGGTTTGGACAAGGCCAAGCCTGAGTGAATACACAGAAGTAGGAGTGATTGGCCGTGGAGGGGAGTGGCCCCACTTGGGCAAAGGGGCGTGTTCTGAAGTGGTGAGAAAGGCTGGTGTTGGACGAGTTGGAGCTGAGTGCAGTTGACCTCACCTAAGAGTCTGTGTCAGGAAGCAGGACAACTTACCGCAAGTCCTGTGCAAATCCATACACACAGGTCTCATGCCACAGCTGTTGTGGCCAGCAGGGCCCCAGACCTACCCAGCAGAGGCCGAGGCACCAGAGCCACAGGTTATCATGAGTACCTACTACACTGTCTTATAGCTCAACTGAAAATCACCACCCAGCAAGAACTGACATTACACTTCAGAAAAAAGATGGTTGTAGAGATACAAATATTTCTCCAAAACTGGAAAGAGGAAAGCAAGTTATTAGCAAGCAATTTTATTTTATTTATTTCTGCAGTGATGCCTTGTGCATTCTAAGCAAGAGATTTACCACTGAGCTCCATCCTCAGCCTAGCAAGCATTTTTAAAAGAAGGACCATTAGAATAAGCAGGAGGTTTTCAAGAGCAGGGGTGGGAGTGTGGGTCTTTTCATTCTTCAACTCAAAGAATAAACAAACCAACGAACTAAACTGATTCTTCCAAAATGTTTGCAGTCAGTAAGACACATTATCATCATAAAAATCACTGATTCTTCAGTGAATGTCTTGCTTTCTTATTGCTAGATACAATACCCAACACCCACAATTTAAAGAAGAAAATGTTCACTTTGGCTCACAGTTTGTAGAGATTTCAGTCCATAGTTGGTTTGCTCTACCATAGGACAGCATAGCAGAGGAGACTGGCAAGGGGAAAACAGCACGTTGCATGGTGGCAGGGACCAGAGTGAGATCAAGGGAGGAGGAGGGAGACAGACCCTTCCAGGCCACGCCCCCGGTGACCCCCTCCTCCAGCCAGACTTCACCTCCGAACACTGCATTTAGTGAAAAGCTCATCAGTGGAATGATGCACTGATGAGTATCACATACCGAATTGCCTCCTGAAAGCCCCACCCATGAGCCCAGGAGACCTTTGGGGATATCTAGACATCAACCATAGCAGTGAATTTGGCCATGTTGAAACATCCAAGTGGTGAGTTTCGGGAATATTGTGATAGCGTGTGATTACAAAAAAGTCCCATTGACTTTGGATCACTTTCTTCCTGTCTTTACTTATTTATAAGTGCCTATTGCAGAGTGGACATGTGGGAAAAGTCACGTCAAAAATAACACCAATACAATGAAATCCTCTCTTTCTGTTTTGGTCATCTTCATGTGGAATCTTATGCAGGGATCTACTGTCCGAAACCATTACAGCAGGGGCAGTTTTGCTAAAGCAGAAGAAAGGAGCTCAACCTGCATGCACTCAGTGCCCTGCCCCTCATACCTGCGGGGAACCCTCCTACCACTCAGTGTGCGTTCTTTTTGTTGTTGTTGTTCTATCTTTCCACTACAGTATCATGTCTTTTTACATTTTTTAATTGACAAAGAAAAATTGTCTGTATTTCTCATTTGCAACATGACACTTTGAAATACATTTACGTTGTGCAATGCCTAAACTCAGCTAACAGCATATGCATTACCTCCTGTACTTCATTCCTTGTGGTGAGAACACTTGAAATCTCAACAACTTTCAAATATACAGTTGTACCATGCTGCTTTCCACATCTCTTGAACTGGTACCTCTTGTCGGACTGACATGTAGACCCTTTGACCACCCTCTCTGCAGTCTCCAACTTCACCAACCTGTTCTCCACTTTTGTGAGTTCCTGTGTTCTAAGACCCACATGAAGGTGAGATCTCGTGGTGTTTTCCTCCCTGTGCCCCTACTCAGTAAGTTTTCTTCACAGCGTCAACACTGACTGACCTAAAATCCCCAAGTTCAGTTTCTTTGATGTCTAGGACAAAATGACATCGATGACGTTTGGGCATTAACCAACATCTCCTTTTCTATTAAAACATAGTTACATTTTTATCTTTGTTGACCTGTACATAAGTCATTCTCTTTTCCTAGTAAATATTCTGCCATTCACTATCACTAGCATACAGCCTATTGGTATGGCACTCAAGAGATAAAATGTTCAAATAACTAGATTTTTAACTAAAATTAATAAATTTTGTGCACAATGACATAAATATTTATATCTTTGGACTGAAAAAGAAAAAAAACACAAAAATGACCCTTCTCATTATAACTAGAGGCAGATACCATTAACAAGAAGTCATTGTCTTACTGTAACCAAAATGCATTAATTTCTCAGGGCTGTTGTAACACAAACTTAGTTGCTAAAATAGCAGAAATATATTGTCAGAAATGTATTAGAGGCAAGAAGTCCAAGGTCAAGATGTCACTTGTGCTGATTCCTTCCAAGGCTGGGAGGCCTCAGTTCCAAGCTTTTGTCCCACCCTCTGATGGCAGCTGGTGAGTTTGGCTTCCTTGGCTTGTAGGCACCACCCCACCTTCTGCCTTCATCTATGTACGGTTCTCCGTCTGTGCATGTCTGGCTCGTGTGCACGGTTCCTTTTCTTATAAGGACACCAGTTACATTGGGTCAGGGTCCACCCATACCACCTCACCTTGACCACAACCGTGGTCTCATTCATAGGTTTTGCAACATCTTCGAGGAAGACAGAATTCAACCCACAAGAGCAAGAGTATGTTACTGGCTGCTCTCTACTTGATTACGATGCATGTGCTTGCTGCCCTGTCCTCTAGCAAGGGTGAACTCTGGCACGTCTGGTGTGACTTCTATGTTGGAAGCTGTGGGAACTGCATGCTCAGGATCCAACAAGTGGAAATACATCCTGGGTTGCTCACCTGGGAAGCTGTCTTGAAAAAAATATCTTTAAGGGGTGATATAATGAATGAGAAGCCAAGCTAATACAAATGATGCAATGAAGGCAAACAAAAGACCCTCTAGGACTTTGCTAATGGCCACAGAGACTGCCACTGAGTCTCATGGTCCATGTACACCCACAATTATGGTACTGCAGAAAAGGTATTGTTTATTTCAGAGTTCCTATCACTTTAGTGGGAAGCGTAGTCAGTCAATGACGTGAGGGGCTTTTTACTGCTGAAGTTTTGCCTTTCCAAATACCATGTCTTCCCTCTTTCTGTCAACAACTGCCCCTTCCCTGGCCACCTTCCCTACACTGGATCCCTTTATTACTGAGAGTCAGGCATGACTCAGACATTGAAGATGCACTGCTGAGAGAGATAGAATCCTCATAAAAGGGACAGACAGACCAGATTCTTAAGATAAAGTGGTTGAATTTTGCAAAAACTGGCAGTCTACCTGCAGAAAGTAAAGAAATAACTGCATCACAATATGTGTACTGGGTACTCTCCATGCTAAGGACTCTGAGGTGACAGAGGAGAAATGAACTGTGTGCTGGGATTGGCACATATGGGCAGAA